TTCGTAAATATGTTCAACTTCTTGATACTTCAATCAATGACAATACTAAACAAGTTTACATCAGAAGATAATGTTTCATCTGAGAAGCCATTTAGTTTCCCAATTTAACGTCTCACGGAGGATTTCCCTTTCATCCCTTTCATTTGGAGAAGAAATCCACCATAGCTTCGGCTTTTCCTCTTCATTAGGCAGGAGATGTCAGTCCAGAAGCTCATCCTTTCTCGCGTCGCTCAGGGAGGTTTCAGTTACCGTTCGGTAGCTCTAAACGCTATAATTACGTTGGTGCTTCTGGGAAGTCAGTCCCGCGGACTTCCCGTTTCAACTCTCGGACGCGTAACCCTCGCTCTCTTTCTCTCTCTCTCTCTCTCTTCCCCCCCCCCCTCTCTCCTCTCCTCTCCTTATGGTTCTTATTGTTAGAGTAAAGTCGATGTAATCCCTTTGACGTGACTCAACATCGAAATATCAACGGATGTGTCGTACGATAGTCGCGATATTAGCATCGCCTTCAGCATGGAATGTACAACTATGCATTAGCATAGAGGACATCGTGTGCCTCGAGCTGATTCTCCTTCGACGAAGTCGTGATCGTTGCCAAGTCCGCAGATCGCGGATAACCGCTCGCGAAACAAGCGATCTGAGTCACACTTACAATTAGTCGCTTTGAAACAATTTAATGCTCACATTAAACGACTCCTTTTCACAAAAAATAGGGATGAATAACTTGGAAAATTATTCGAAACAAAATCCGAAGTAATTCAACATCTAAATTATAGGTTACTAGAAATTACTGTACAAATTTGCGCAAACTGCAATTAAATTTATCGCCGAACTAAAGCATCGTAATTATAGAAATTACAGAAATAACATTATACATATAGGACAAGAGGATTTCAGATTTTCGCGAGTTTACCATCGCGTCCACGATTACGTCACATGCCCTTTCGAAGCCGGACAGGTGGTTCACACGCGATCTCGAAGCCGTGCCCTGCTTTGGCGTTCCAACCGAAGTTATTCGCGTGACCGTGTAAAACGGCCTTAATGGGAGTGTTTCCTGATCCCGGAACGAGTAACGAGACTCGTATACGTACAGTAAAGGGTTCGTGGGAAGACGAACGTCGAGGCTGGCTTTGCTCGAGGGTATGTACCCGCGCATAGCGCACTCGCAAACACACTTGCGCGTTCATCCACCCACACACACAGCCAACAACACAGTATCGTGCCGCATTTGGAGAGCTGTAGCTCCATTGTATGGACTACACCTATGTATGCACCGGCACACGGCAAAAGGCATAGCGTGGCAATAGATGTCAGGGCCAAATCTCCGATTTCCCCCACAGGTCTCAATTAGATAAAATGACGAGCGATTAAGCGCGATTAAGTCTCGCGTTGACGTTTTCTCGTCAATAACGGCCCGCGATGCTCGTTTTCGTAACACAGCGGATTCTCTGAAATTGTATTTTTAAAAATACAACGTCGCATATCTTTTCGGTGATAAAGGAATATTTTCAATTGAAAGGTAAGTATCTTTTTATTTATATCTTTATTACTTGAATTTTAATTAAAAACATTTATGAGTAAATACTATAATTATTTCCACTTGTAATATGCGATAGTTCAAATATAGGTATAGACTAGAGAGATTGCTTCCGACCGACCCAAGGAAAAGGGTTGCGCTTTGCACCGTCCGTCCGGCGGAGTTCAAAGGGTTTAAAGCATTCATTAATAGTGCCCTGCCTAGCGGACGATGTTGAGACACTACGTGAATATTCCTGAAAAGCAGAAAACCGTGGATTCAACAGCACGATCTCACTTACAGTCTTCCCTTGATCCGTAACGCGGAGTTCTAGAAAGAACAGTAAAGGGCCTCCCCTTGTATAACGATTTCCGCTCCCAGGTGCACACTTATTAACGCCGCCGAGATCGCCGCCATTCATTAATTTCCTTCACCCGACTCGGTAGCCGTGCAGGAACTCTCCTTTCGCAGTCCTTCCCCCCCCCCCTCTCTCTCTCTCTTTCTCTTCAGGGCCTACAAGTCTCGTATCGTAGTAAGGCCCCGATGTGGCGCCGTACTACGCCGAGGTTACAGCAGCAAGAAAGGATAGATCTTAAGACGATTTCATACGACTAACTTCGAAGTAATCGACGCGAATAAGTAATTCAAGATTACTGCATTCTCGCAGGTATTCTTTCCTGTTATCTTACATAGTTAAGGTCATTTAATTTATGGTGTTAAAGAAGCTTATCGCATCATTAATCGTATAAACCAAGAAAACATGACAACGTCGTAAAATTAAGTAACACAAGTCTCATATTTTTGAAAATATACAATGTAAATAAATTAATACGATATATAATTTTTGTGATAACAATTTGGTATCCATTCATTCCAGCAATTTTATAATTATTAAAAGATTTTTTGAAATTTTTTTTTTTGCAAGACTTTTCTTATACATTTTCAAGAAATTTCATCGTGAAAATCAACAAAGTCAGAAAGATATAATTGGCAAAGTGATTGCACTATTTATAAAAGTGCTAAGATTTTCCTCAATTTTTACAAATTTCTTACATTTCCGAGAATTTTTCAAAATTTGAAAAATTGCGAAATTCAAAGACAAAGAAAATTGAATAACAAAGACAAACAAGACTCAAAGACAAAAAGATGGAGAGCCGTTCTGTTCAGCCGCCAGGCACGCGCTCATTAGAAATATTAATAATTGCCACGAGACGTAGGTAATGAATGTTGCCGTCGTCGCCGCGTAGTTTGATGTTCGACCCTGCTAATAGGAGAGTAACTTAACCGCGACGCGGATAACCGACAATTAGATGTAGATCGAATATACTGTACTCGTGAGATGCATTGATAACAATGTCCTTCGCTCTGGTTACCAATCGCAAATCTCCATTTAAAGCCATTTATCAAGCAAACCGTTCAGAATTAAACTTCAATTGTAATATTACCTAATCCTTATTAAATCTCTATATAATATATAGTCTGTTTATATTACAGAGCAAGCAGTATATAAATCAGATAGGAATAAATGTAATTCACGAACAATGTAAATTAAAAAATTAGGAAAGTGAACTATAATTAATTCCTAAATTGATACAAAATTATATAATATGCAATATATATCAACGATTAAACACTAAAAGCAGTCATAATACATGGCATGTTTCAAGTATGTTACTCAAATATTCGTACTGTAGTCAAGTTTAATTTTAACTCTTTCATCTGATTTAATTTAATAAACCTGATCTTAATAAAATATTAAAAAAAAAGTTTAATTCAATTCAAGAGTATTTTAATAAGTAATTTATATACAAAAAATTAATTTTTTTCAAAATTTTGACTATTTTTCCAACATATATGCATTATTATGTAGTACAGTTGCATGACCTCGTTTTCAATGACGTTAGTAGAACTGTAATAAATAATTTTAACGGATAACGTTTTCAAACTGGATACATTAAAATGTGCATAACAAATCTGGAAAAGTTTAAAAAAGAATATTTGACACTAAAGTTTCAAAATTGTTGCAAAGGTCACATGCATAATTAAACTTTCTTTTGAAGAAATTTTGATCAAGATCTAAGATCACAGTTACTTCTAGCTTTCAAGCAACACTTTATTCTCAATATATTGAAACTCTTCAAAAAACGCGCTAGTGAGTTTCTAATGGCAAATTATGTCAAAACTCATAAATATTTTATAAATCAGGATGAAAATGTTGGGAACTTCAGGAATTCCAAACAATACGAGTCGATGTCTATAGATAAATAGAAAAGAAGAAACTTTAGTCACGGATAAGAGGAGTAAGAAAATTAAGATAACATTTCAATTTCGATGGAAACAATTATTTATTGTCTACAGTATACGAAAAAAAAAATAAATAAATAATTGCAGTTAAAATAATTAAAAAATTTCCTTCCTTAAGGAATATAGACAATACACACAATAAATTAAATTATTAAACATATATCTTATTAAATTGAACAGATGTCTTGAGAAAATGTATGTTTCTTTCAAACGGCAACGACATTAGCAAAGTGAGTAACAGTAGCGCAATCTTAATTGCATCTAATGGTGATTAAATCGTTAATGGTAGCGCTGCGCGATAACAATGATAATAACAAACGTAGGAAGAAGGAGAGAAGAACCAGAGGAAAGACACAGGGGAAACGTACAAATGCAGCCTTTAAAGAGCTGGAAGCGACCCCCCTTGAGCGTGAAGAGAGAGAAGGGGGAGAAGGGAACAGGTTCCCGGCATGGTTACCGCGTATTCACCGAGCTGAAAACCTTGGGCCTCATCTGGAGCGACAAAGAAGGAAGGAGAGAGAGAGAGAGAGAGAGAGAGAGAGAGAGAGAGAGAGAGAGAGAGAGAACAGCTGAAAGCGAGAAAGGCAAAAGAAAAGAAAGAAAGACAGAGAAAGAAGGGAGGAGGGACAGAATATTTGCTCATCTCGCTCCAGTCGAGATTGGTCGAGATGCTGCGGTCGCAGACACACGATAAAGGTCGAGAAAGCAAAGGTAAGTTCACACGATGCGTGCTCGAGGAGGGTCCACCAGGAGGCCGCGCACGCGTGCGGCGGCCGGTGGGCCCCTTGGTCCTTGAACTCGTCGCGAAAACGGTGTCTTTTTATTGGCACGCCGCGCCGCGCCGCCCGTCCGAACTTCTATCAAGATCGCTGGAAGCTGGTTCCCCGAAATTTTAGGGAAAAAGAGGATTAACTTACATGCATTAAAAATACAGTATAACGCTCTCATAAGTATGTTGAAAAGAGAATCCGTAAAAACGATGAGGTATTTGATGTATTCATCATTATGACGTGATTAATAAATCTTTCACGTCATATACAATGAAGTATCATTAGTACATATATATCGTAAACAATAATTTATTATTAGTTTGTTTTCATTTATGCCGGTATCCACTTCTTTTTTTTTTTTTTTTTTTTTAACTGAGGAAAGCAGCGGAGAGATGAACATTTCAGAGAGAAGGAAGCGCAGCGAGACAGATTATTTCGGAACGGCAGGAAACGAGCTACCGAGCGAACGTAGCTGCATTTCCGCGATTCGCACTAACGTAACGGTCTCACTCGTCATAATTAAAGCATGCAAATTCTGGTGCCTCCAGAAACGTTTCAACGTTTTCATATTGTCGATGCAAAAGTTGCAAATCTGAAATACACGACGAAATAGACATTTATTCGTACAGCCTCCATTTGTAAAATTCATATTAGACTGCGTATAATGGAAGAGATATTAGGAACGGAAATAAATATCAAATACTTTTAAGAAATATAAAAATTGAAAATAAAGATTAAATGTAACATATATATAATGAATATAAATAAGATACAAGTATGCCTTATATTTGTATTCATACAATAGTAATGTCTTTATATTTTATTTCTATCCATTATATGCGTTACGTTTAATACCTATCCTTAATTTTTTAAATACTTCCAATACTTAATATTTATTTCTGCTCCTAATATTTTTTCTCCAATGTGCTCAGTTATTCAAAATTGTCGATAAAATTTTATCTCGGTAAATTCTTACATGGAATCTATACTGAAAAATATGCTTTGATTAGATTTGATTAAACCAACCAAAAGGTCTATTAAATCAACAAAAAGTTGGATAGGTATAGATAGGTATAAGTCTATAAGTTATAATCTGAAGTTCTGTTTGGCCTCACTAAAATATCCGAAGAGTAATAACTTAATGTAATCGTGGGGCAGTGTTTTGACAATCAATATAAAACCCAAAGGAAATTCGATAATTTAATACATATGCAATCGACAAATTATTGTGTAATATTAAAAGGGGTAAAATCGTTTACTTATTATACCAAATGACTTGAATTATTTGTATTAAATCAGATGAAGTCGTATGAAATTAAATGAAATCATATAATGTATAAGACAATGTTTCACACACGGCTAGTGATTACCTCCTCGAGAAAATACCATTCTTGTTGAGCCTTTATGTTAGTTTAATTAGAGCATTTTTCTCAGTGTAAGCGATGTGAGGTATATCTTTTATCAACAAAATTTCGCAAGTTGACGCGTTGATTCCGTAAAACGGCAAGAGTCTACCGACGCGGAAATTCGAAAGCGTGCGATCTCGGCAGGAAACTGCTGTACGCACCTGGCACTCCCTCTTCTTCATCCAACCAAGCTCCCGGTCTGGGAGCAAAATGGCGGAGTGGTGGGGCCCCGAGCGAGTAGTTCGCCATTCGCGTCAGTCGTTTTCCGGGCCCAGTCGGTGCGTCGTGTGCGCGAGTCTTACTCAGGATCGTGTTCGCATCACGGAACAGAAGAAAGGAAGAGAAAAAGAGAAAGAGAGAGAGAGGAACGCGTCGCTCGGAAGAGCGCTTTGTTCCGGTTTTCCGTCCTCCGGCTTCTGGTGCACATTTCTGTGTCTGTTTCTTTTTCGCGCTCATAGTTATCAAGAAAAAAAAAATCGCGCAGCGATTTTCGAGGATCGATCGATAGATCGATCACTCGAGGAAAAGAAAAGAACGCTCATCCCTCCCGAGGGGACAACAGACGAAGAACGATCTTTATAACCGAATCGGCGCATTGCTGCTGTGCGCAGCTTAGGGCCCTCGCAGGGCTACGTAGGGCCGAAAATCCAGTGTGCGGGGGTTAGTTTCGGACTCGACAGTCAGCAACTATAACGTCAGGGGATAACGACGGCAACGACGTTTCGCCGAGGGAACTTTCGACATCGTGCTGGACAACAAACGAAAGGTATTTGTCTGCGACGAGCAGGGTATGAGATAAAGATGATTTTTCTCGATATGCAAAAGACGCGCGATTGATATAACGCACAGATTCGGATGAAGACGTGAAAAACAATAGATTTAATATATAACCTTAGCTTCTACTCCAACGAGAAGAGCATTGAAGTAAGCGCGGATGCTATAATGTTAATTTATTGGAGCATGTTAAACTTGCGACGTGAACAAACATTATAACGCTCCAATAACATAGAAACAGAGCCCGCAATGTGGTCGAGAGAGATCTTTGTTTTGAGACCTCTTTCAATTGTTATTGGAATCTGGAGAAAGCCGGATTCAGGAATCCTTCGGAGCTGGCCATCGAAATTCCGGTGGGATTCCGAGACAGTGATTTCGATGCTCAGTCGCGCCACGATCGAAACGCAAGGCACAGCTGACGCAACGAACGCGAGTTCCGTGTAAATCGAAAATTGAATTCACCGGTCGGTCCTCGAAAGCAAAGTTTGCTTCGATGCAGTCGACTTCATCGAAATAAGTTGCTCGCTCGTATCTATTTGTTCGGTCCAATTGAAGCTAGTTTTAAGATACCGCAGTAAAGAAGTCGAGCCAAGTTAACGAGAATGAATCGTCGGAAACGAGCATAACAAACTCTTTTCTTTTAGCAGATAGAAAGGAGAGGTCCCTTAGAAATTTAATATTAACATTGGCCGTTTTATCACTTACTTTCAATATTAAAAGTATCGTTGACAATATTTTCAGTATTCGAAATAAGAGATGAATTGATCACTATTAGTAACTATAAGGGATGTTCGTTCATTAAAACGAATTCATCGCTCGTTCGCGATCGTCCGATCTGGATTCAGCCTCATAGATTACGGATCGTTCCACTGTCGGCTATTGCGTGGTATCGTTCGATTGCTCTTCGACGAGCAGTTTCAACGAGTGCAGCTCGCCGCAACTCGAAGTCGAGAGAGAAACGTGCGCGTCTTCCTCAGCATACGCTTAATCGACCTCAATTGGCAAAGCAGCCGACTCCGGTGGAGAGAACGAGTGATCGTTCGAACCGATCCGATATTGGCTCGCACAAGCCTCGAATGAGTAATCCCTCTTTCACCGCACACACAATTCCTATTACCTGCGTAACAAAGTACACTTCGTTACGAAGCACAAACTCTCGCATTACGTTGCTCCGCTGACGCTGACTCGCTATTTCCAACGACATATTCTCGTTTTTCGCTGTTCGACATAATTACGTTTTTAAAAGTGTGTATCTTCTCCACAAGTGTGTTACAATGAAATGCATATCTTCGAATTTATTTGCGACATTTAAAATATACATATCTTACTCGAGTTTAATTAGATTCTGTATAAATCTCAGTATGAATTTCTAGTACATGTCGTTCAATTAAGTGTAACGAAAATTATATCGGACACAATTGGTGCTATAAATTATATTAATACATCTAGAGTTACATATTTGTTAATGCCTACGTATAAAATATGAAAATAAAGGCTTTATGATGAAATCAGTGAAATAAATCAGGAGTAAGAGCCAATGCTGGGATTCTCTGTGCGTAAACAGTTTTATATTTTTAAATTTGTTATACTGAAGATACCTAATTAGGAGGTCGAAACATTTATCATTAATAAAGAACACGAAGAATAAAATTGTTGGCTTTTTTATGTTACTGCGCATTTCGTTATATATTTGCCTTTCTGCGAGAGAAAAAGGAATTGTCACGTCAAACTGCTTCTAAGTGCTAACGGATCGCCTAGGAATGCGGAGCAGGTCAAATTTTAATTCATTGTCCAGTTTGCCCTTTGCTTCAGGCAAGGATAAAAGTGCCCTTTCCGGAAATCGGCAGACCCTTCCTAAACGGTAGGCACCTTCAACCGAGCTTCGACAGAGGCAGGAGAAGCGACTCGACTCGTTTCTTGACGAGCGGTTCGCATTCTCGCAACGCGGCTACTTGTGTTCCGCTCGAGCGAGACCGGCTCGTGGCCCGCGTGCAATCAACGTGGAAAAAAAAACGTCAACGCACACGCGATCGATAAATCGTCCGCGAATCGCGCGGACGAAAGAGATACATCATAAAAATAAGGTGTGACGTGCGCGAAAAAATAACATATGATTAATTAAATAAATACAATGACATGAAGATGTAAAATACAAGGCTTATTAAATTTAGGAAAAAAAATGTAGTAATGTGATCCCTGCTTAAGTTGTGAAACAATGGCTTACGATTGATGTTTTTATTGACAATTGATTTATCTATTACGAAGGTTTATTAAAATTTTTCGTATAATTTTCAATGTCAAATTTAATGTGATTTAAAGTTTGAATATAACAAATTGAAAAATTATGCTAAAAAAATAAGAGCTTATTGAAGAGCGTATATTATCATCTTCTTTAATTTTGAGAATAGGAATGTTTTTTTTATGGTATGTGACGACACAAGTTTACACTATACCGTTCTGTCTCATATCAAAATGATTAAACAATGTTTGTGTCGGCATGTATTATCAAATAGAAAGCAGCAAAAGGTGTCTGTCAGTTTGTGATAACATGATAAAGGAAATTTCCTGAAATATATGTATATAGAGATAATTTTTCGTCATTAAAAGCTTAATTACCGGTCCTAAAAAGCCTATGAAGTTTAATGTGCTGTATTTTTGGATCGGTATATTTTATCCGACAGAGTTTCATATTTTTCTAATGTGTTAAGAAATGTGATCGCGGGAGTTTATGCGTTCTTCATCCTTTGTTTCGACAACTCGAACGATATTCACGATCCTGGTGCGGTAGATAGGACCGATTCATGATTTCCAGTTTCCTGAATGAGATAACGATGATAAATAACCGACGAAAGGACCTTGTACCTTAGTACCAGGAATTTAGATATGTATGCACAGCATATTATCTGCCGCCTCCGCGTTTCATGAAAGACGTTAGAATTCTCCGCTTCTCTGCATTCAACGTTAGAAATGAACATGTAAATACCGTAAAAGTGTAGGCGTCTCTCGTGAAGAAAAATAATCTCCCGCGAGTTTCTTGAGAAGCTAAAATTAATTAGAATTTATTTTTCTATATATACGAGATAATTACGCAGAAAACTATATATAGGTATACATCATAATAAAAAATAATTAATAACATATGGAACAATAAAATAATAAGAATAAAGTGAGTAAAGCGAACTGTAATGTTCATACGAAAAGTTGGCATTCTAGTAATGGATTATTTGAACACAAAGATAACCTGCGAGAAATGCATAATTTTTCTGTATAGAAAATAGAAGCCTCAAAAGTATTAAATAAGAATTTTTCGCGCATCTATGTGTCATTGAAACAATAGTTTAATTTTATTATTTCAGCGAATGTTTTCGTTACACTGAAAAAAAATTTACTGAATTTTAATAAATATATATGTTTATATTTAGTAAATATTTAGTTATTCTACTATTTAAACAAATATTTATTAAAATTTAGTACACATTTTTTTCAGTATATAATAGTAAAGTTTTTATTTTAAAATTGTACCGACTGTACACGAAATAGTTTTCAAATTACCGTCAATTATTTTACTGCGTTATTTACAGTTTAAGCTGAAAGAAATATAAATTGCCACGATTTTAACTAATTGGTTCTAGCTGTGAGAAAACAATAGTCTGCCTCTAATCTCTCGACAGTTACACACACACTTGAAAAAACGCTTCTGACGTCGATTTCTCGACATCTGTGGTTTAAAGACAGCCTCTACAGTCGATTTCTCAACAGCCGTCACTTCCAAGGCCCTCGAAAGAACATAATTATTAAGACTGGACCATTCCTTCCATCGTAAATCAAAATGCATATTGTTTTCCAATCTATTTTATCTAATCAAAATATGTAGTATTAGTTAACAAAGTTTCTTTATAAAAATATGCATTTCATAAAGACACACAATGACTGAAGATAAAATCAATTTATAACACGTGAAAGTATCAAGAATAAAATTAGTTTACGAAAAAAAAAAATGGTAAAACGATAAAAGTAAAATTAAAATAATTAATTCTTAAAAGCTTAAATTGTAATCTTCAGTCTATTAAAGTTCAACAATGGTTATACTTAATTTTGCACAAGTTATCTATAATTTTAGAGTATGTTATAAAGATAGAAGGACGATCTAATTAATTAAATTATTATTATGTTCATCTCATGTTTAATATCATATTGCCATCTGCTGTTTCTCACGATGTCGAGACATCATGTAACCTCCTTCCTGAGCTCTATCGTCTTCATTCATTCATTTTTCGCATCTCGAATGAATCGATGTGTACGCGTGTCTATCGAGCGTATCAGTAAAGCATAGCGCTTATACTGTACGACGCTATGAAATATTAACGCGATGATGTTCGTCGACGTGTAGAATACGTTCGTGTACGAAGTTGAGCGAAAGCACGACATACAATATGTGTATATCATACATACGAGGTGTCTCACGAAACATGCATCAATCTTCAGAATTGTAATAGGTACACACGAATAAGTTCACGTGAAAATATATTACGATCTTATATGCGTTAATATACGACGTGAAATTACATATCTAAAAAATTTGTATGAAACAATATAGAAATAATAAAGGCAAAGAACCAATAATACAATATAAAACGGTTTTCATTCAAATAAAAATTGCATAAACAAAAGTAACAAAACATACGTTTCGACTCCGATCGGG